TGCAAATTGCAAGACTTAAATCCTCTTATATTTTTTTTGACATGCTTGAAGAATATTTTGGAGTGTAAAGGATATTGAAAGGCAATTTCCATCTGCAGAATAGGTATCTCCTATAAAACACGAACCCTATATTCAATTAATAAAGACAGATTGTTTGACCCTTCCCAATCACTGCAATGACCCAGGGCAGCACACTCCCCAGGAGAAAATCCTGCTACACATCAGAACTAGCAAGACTGAGGAGAAGAGCTGTTCACTCTACTACTACCTAATGAACCAGCCCTTTTTTTGTGGAACTATGGGTGAGAGCAACGTGGAGTACTTAAACCATCTTCAGCCCCAACTTAATAATTAGATTTACTTATTTGAGGAAGATGCATAACAGAGAAGACAATGGTTGTCCTCAGGACCATAGCAGTCTTTTATTCAATAGCAGTTCCAACTTGGAAAGACATTACTCATCTTAAATGTAAATCATGAAATTCTCAGTGGAGTGTATTACAGAAGTCTAAACGTTATGATCTTATCTAATATTCTCTCTACTTTAAGTATCTCTATTTAGTATGTCACTTTAAGCTCTATTCATAGGATATGTCACTAGCATTGCTAATTTTGAGTCTCTCTCTTCCATATAATGACTGCTTTCAAATATGCTTCCACTTGCTTGCATTTTTCCAGTTGGCATCACGTCTCATTTCACACCCTTACTTCTAACGTCTTTTGCTTTTTTTTTTTTTTTGCCATGATACCATGGTGTTTCTGAGATTAAAAACAAAGATAAATCTTTCTCCTTCTCTCTCTCTCTCTCCAAAACTCTTTGTACTTTGGCATACATATGGACATAATGAAATATTGTATTGCTTTTTCTTTTTCTATGCAACCAATAAAGTTGCTATTAAGTAAGACATTATCTAATGGTTCAATAATACACTGACCACTTTCTCAGAACTCACTGCTCTGGATAATTTTAATTCCATGTAATTGGAGTTATAAAATATGATACCTAATCTTTAATTCTGACATGGAACTAAATTATGTTACATTTGCTATTATGAGTTCTTACTGTGAAAATACAGAATTATTATATATTTAAATATACTTGATTACCTTTCCATAGAAAATGGGCATACCAAGATAAAAATGAGTGTGTTTGGGAATCAATTATCCACTCTATCACTCTGTCATGGAGTCCACATTTATAATTTTAAAGACTAATATAATACCCTTATTCAGCATATTATTTTACTATATGTTTAAAGTGCTCGCTGACTCTTAACTATGTGTAACACTTGTTTCTATGTTTCAGCATAATAACTTACAGACCACCTCCTCCTAAACCCAGTGCCTTCCAGAGTGGAAAGTGGTAGTACAACTTAGCAAATAAATCTTTTAAACCTTTCAGGTGTTACTGGTATAATTTTGGGTCATGTGTCAGTGTCCTTGGATATTACAGCTTTAGGCATATGCCACATATAGGCATAAATTGTTGAAAAGCAAAAAAAGAGCTGATGTTGCAAAGCATTTCACCCTCCAAACAGCACTGCAAACAACATGCTCTAGAGGAAAAAAACCCAACAGAGTTGAATGTAATACTTACAATTTGGAAACCACATTTCCTGAATTTTTTGAGGACAGAATGGCCTGGTTTGCAAGATACCTTAAAGACCACCTATTTCAAATCCCCTGTGGCAGGAGCACCTTAGTAAACAGAAGTTTTAAGGACCTCCTGTAGGTTGTCCAAAAATTGTCAGAAAATTAAACAGAGACCATATACAACATATCCAGTTAAGTACACTGGCTATTGTGTATATACTGCTACTCTGGTGAGATCTCTTCTGAAATACAGAAGACAATGAGGGTGATTACTTGGTTTAGACAGGGGATAACACTAATGGCAGCTTTACAGCTTTGCATGCGTTTATAAAACTTGAATGAAAAGTTTTACTGCTCAAAAGAATAACTCCTTTCATTGACATATGGCTCTTCTCTGTGTCTGAGATACAGTTACACCCTGACAACTTGTCTCAATGGCTTTTTATGATTGCTCTCAATTGAAACTGCTTATTTTAAAGAATTAGCCATAGTCTGAAATAAAATGGGAATTTTAAACTAAATCTCTCATGGCTAGAAGGAGTAAACAAAATCATGCGTTTCAAGGGAGATGGATGATGAAGAGAGATTTGTCCTGGCCTGATCCTATAAGCACTTGTATCTGAACGCAGACCTTATGAAACCACGAAGCACATTTCCCACATGGGAATAGGGATGTCCATGACATGGAGCCAAATGTATACTCTGTACCCAGCCCTTGGTGGATGTTTTGAGGAGAGAAGGAGAGAGACAAGAGCTATTCACCAGGTAAGTGTGTTTGCCTGACATATTTATGAATTTCCCAGCACTTACTCAGAGATTTCTAGATACAATGAAAGTGCATTGCCACAGTGAATGGTAGCCATGTAGAGATGATATCTAAGAGAAGCATAAGCTATCCCATTTAAAAGAATATAATTGGAGGAAAAATTTTAAAAGAATTGCTTTAATGAATTGCTCTTTTTCCAACATCCTAAAGCAAAGAATTGCTTTAGGATGTTGGAAAAACCTTCCTAATGGGTGGCTGCTGAAGGATTTGTTGCATCTATGACTGTAGTATTAATTGCTAACAGAGCTGGGGTTCATAAGATACATCAGTAGCCATGCACAGGAAAACACAATCAGAAATGCTTCTGTACTGGACTGAAAACCTGGAAAGCCAAGACTGAGAAGAAATCTCAGACTCTGCTCTGAGATTAAATTTTTAAGTCTCTGCTCAGAGACTTAAATTTTTTTACATAGTTAAATGTTGTATAAACATTTATATGTTTATACAGCATTTAACTATGTAAAAAAATTTAAGTCTCTGCTTAAGGTGTGAGATGATATTTCTTAATCAAAGTTTGGCTTTAAGACACAGCATTCTCCCCCACCCCTTTATTTTATTGGTCACCTAAGTCAAGTGTTTTACTCAAGTGAAGATCTATCCCTCTATGGCAGACACACAGACCTAACATAATGTTACAGATAGAAATTGGAATAAAAGGAAGAGATGCATAGGATTAGACAAAATAAGCGGCCCACAGTTAAATTTGGTTGCATTTAGAAAATGAGACTAGTGATTACATTTTGAGAGGCAGATTAGAGAAAAATCAGGAGAAATGTTCTACCTCAGAGGAAGAGGATTTTGGACATTGATTCATTTTTCAGAGTTAAGGCTGAACTGTTTCACATGTAAAACAGAACTCAAATTTAGTCTTACTTAGTCTTATATAGCTACATTTGGTTGGAAATCTGTTTCCTAGAACAGCTAGATGCTGGTAAGTACCTCTGGTTCCCACTTTCCTTCTGTTCAGCAGTGCATGGCTGCTTCCAGAGAGGGGTTGTAGCCCAGTCATACAATGGCCTGCATCCTGGCAGGGAACTCAAAAGCCCCTCAAAAGTGAGCAGACATCAAGACTAAAAAATTGTGTCCCATGGCACTAGATCCTTCTGCAATGGATGATGATAAAAGAATGAGGACTGACATCAACAATGGATTCCTAATGACACTTCTGCTCCATCAGAAGCTATTCCACAAAAAAGGGGAAAATTCCTGGATAAAAGATGATGTCATCTTCCACTTCCTTCCATTGTATTCACAGAGTTATAGACTAGTTTGTGAGAGGTGAACAGAATCATCCTTTTCAAATCTTTAAAGTATCTCTTTCTACTAGCTGTACTGAGAATTACCGCTCTAGTTGTAGGAAGACTGGATATTTTTTCCTTCTCCTTTGCTTTGCTGCTAAAGTCTAGGTGTCTGAAAGACAGCTGTGTTCAGGCCCAGCTAAGGAAGGTAAGACTTTCCTCAGATAATCCTGTATATTCACCCACAATATGTCTTCTAGTCCATCTTGGCATATGCTACAGAATCTCCAGTGTTTTGAAATGGTCTAACTAAAAATATCACATGGTGTTTCACTTCTATAAGGATTCTAGTCAGTATAGAGGGCTTCAGTTGACATATTGGGATGTATTTGCATCAACTAACTTCAGGTATCCAACTTTCATGCTTTGAATTATCCTCTTGAAGTAAAATTCCTTTCTTGCCAGTCATGACATCAGAAATTCAGACCCCTAAAAACAAAAGGTGCTGTGAACTGCAACTTTCTAGAGATGTGAAGAAGAATCAAAATGATAGTGAAGGTAACTCCTGAGTAAGTGTGATATTTTTAGGCAACAGGTCAAGCAGACTCATAGAAATTTTTGAGAATATATTGGATAAATTTAAATACTGTTTTGTACTGCTTCTGGAAGGAGTATCCTTGAAGTGAAGTTCTTGCCCTATCCGTTCTTTGGAAAGACCTCTCTGCAAGTCAGAGTAAATGCATATAACACCGAACAATTAAGACAAGTTTCTAGGCAGACGTATGTAATTTGGTTTCAGAGTTGCTTGTTTTGATTTAACTAGAATGTATGGATCTAGGCTTGTGAGAATTTATAGCATTGCCTGGAAATAGTAGTAGAAGTCTTTGGAGAATCAGCCAAAGAGACTGACTAAAGAGATCTAGACAAGCAGCAGCCATGCAGTTTAAAATAATATGGAATGTATAAAGAAGTAGCTTTACAGGTATTACAAGTTGTCCTGCTACAAACACAAAAATCATCTTTAGTAAATCATCTTTCTAGATACTATTTCAAGGCAAGAATATACACATCTACACTTTCAGTCTGAGATCAAATCCCAATGCATTTTAAATTTTCTATAATAAACAATAATAATAATAACAATAACAATAATAAGAACAACCACCACCACCACCATAATGAAGCTTCGTACATTTTTAGAATTTGGTCCCAGAAAATAACTACAAAAATCAGTGATTTAATGGAATGACACATCCAACTACTGAACTTTTCTGTTTGCATTTTCTGTTTTCTCTAACACTGAATTCAACAAGAATTGAACTGGAATATACAGAATTACTTACTGTGCAAAGTGTCTCAAATGTCTTTTCGGAGACAAAGGATCCATCAAGACCAAAAAGAAAAATAGATGCATAAGAAAGCATCCCTCCAAGGATAATAAGGTTGTTCATGTAGGGACTGGACATCTTTATTAGTCTATGGACAAAAGGTGATAGTGCATTAAAGAGAAAAATATTACTGCTAGGCTACTAGAGCAATAAAGAGCTTTTTGTAACCAGGCAAAGAGATAACTCTTCTATAATTCCATGAAACATAAAGGCATGCACAGTATTTGCTGTTTTATGAAGTTTAGCATTGTTTCAGGTTTTTGAATGCTTAGTAAAAAGACCTCTTTTACTGATGGATTAATTAGCTAGGGTTAATGTTATTAGCAGACAGTCAAACCTAAAATAGTAAATTACACTTTTCAGACAGTATAAAAGAATTTAAATACAGTCTGTTTCAATGTGAGTATACTACCCAGTGATTTCAATTAAATAGTTCTAAAATACCACCTTTCCACAGTTTTACATTTTCCCTACATGTATATGTAGACAGATATAGTTACATGACTGGTTCTACAAACACGGCATTAAATACAAAAGAATTTGAGATAGAAGTAACATGAATGTCTTACTTTTGATTTCTGTTTTTGATGTTAAAGAACAAGAAAGCACTGGCCATGATCATTCCTAGGATTGTGAGGGCAGAGAGGATGCTGTAGAGAGGCAGGGAGATTTTGCGCAGCTCCTCTTGTATAATTGTTTTGTCCTTCGGAGGCTCAACTCCTAGAATTGCATGAAGGAAAAAAAAGGGTAAAGCTCAACCTGGTATAGTCTCTGCAAGAGACTTTGCCTCACCTAAGTACTATACCTTGAATTAGCACACTTAGCAACTGTGAACCACATCAGTAGCTGATGAAATCATTGACTTTGACAGACATATGTTAGTCACATTGATTGACATGAAGATTTGCATTTCTGGAGCAGGTAAATATCCTGTTTGGAAGAAAAGACACAACCATACCCAAGTGCAGAACCCCATACATAGTAACTAGCCTCATTTTAAAGTAAATAAACACTAAAATGCATACTTTGAGTGTAAATTTTACCAGGAGGTTATGCTTTTCTGAAACAATTGACAGAGCAATGAGTAGAAAACAGAAAGCATCATTTCTGTGCCCACTGTTGTTGCCAGAGCAAATTCTAACAGCCTGTCTGGAGACAAGCCTTAGTGTAGCATCACTGGGACAGGGATTGATGGCCCTGGGGCTGAAATGTGGTCCTGGGCTGTGGGCATGGTGGGGGAAGCCCTGGGAGGAGGGAAGGGAGAGTTGTTGGTGCCCTCAGGATTCTACAGAAGGGAACAATACGGAAAAATGGATAGAAAAAGTTTTATAGGGACAGATCCACTTTGCAGATATGGATTTGAATGTCTCAACTTAAAAACTATGTTTAAAGCTGTGTACTTCGGCAGTCAGCTCCAACTAATTAAAGGCTTCTCTGTTTAATGAGGAGAATCACTTTCCGACAACTGCAATAAAGCTCTGCATCCCCAACTTCCCACACTCCATTTCACCTGCTTACTAATTTTTTCCTTGGTTCAGGAGATTGGCAAAAGGCCTTTTGCATCACTGTCTTCCTTCAGAAACAGATTTGTGTGCCCTACAGTTCCTGAGCCTGTCCTTTTGCATCAGCTCTCCGATGGGACTGCAAGGGCCACAGGGCTGAGCAGCTCCTTCCACAGCACGGCTGCAGAAGTGGAACTGTGAGTACCCGACCAGCAGCTGCCATGGCTAAATTTTACATCCATTCTTCTGCCTTGCATCTAAAAGAGTATTCAAGGATTTACACAATAAAATAGTTTTACCTTTAAGAGTTAAGTTGAAATTATTCAGACCATGGAAACATGCTATCCTTTGGCCTTTATGCCCAACTTTTCAGAAAAAAAAAGTCCTTTAGATGCTTACAAAAAGGTGGCAGTGAAGGGTCCATTTGTTGATTTAATACTGGAGAAAAGTACCTGAGATTTTCCTCTTTCCCTCCACAATTGCATGCATTTACACCCCATGGAAATTCATAAATTAGACAAGTAGCAAGAAAAAAACCCAATAAAACATATGCCTGATTTAAAAGAACTAACACTAAAAAATAAAACTTCACCCTACTGTTTCTACACTCCACAGAGTATATTGATGGTTTGTATTTATTAAATATAAACACACAGTGAGAAAACAAAACTTATTTTCTTGTGTGTGCACAGGGCATTCAATCCTGTTGCTTCCTGTTGCTGTGGAATTTTATGCAATGGTTTAAACAGGAACATTTTTACAATTCTCTTTTTTAAATACTTAAAGTTACTAGGATTCCACTGACTGGAAGTCAGTGTCCTCCACATTCAATGTCCAACTGTCTCAATGAAAAGCTAAGATGAGTCAAAGGAAAAGATTCACTGTGAGTCACATAATACATCTTAAGGCTACCATAAGACAGGTTATGAGTGGAAAGATCACCTTCAGATGTGGTCAGAAGAAGACCTAGCAGTCTTGTCCTGAGAAAAGACCATACAGAGACTTTTCCCCATCATATACTGTCTGTAAAGGCGAGAATTTATGAAGAAATGCTGTCTCCTGTAACTTGATTCATACTTCATATATTCTCTGGAAATTAATGGACTGAATCAGTATTAAACCACATCATTAGTTCCTCCTTGTGGCAAAAATAATCTGCTGCTTCCCAGACTTTGGCAACTGGGACAGATTCTCCACTCTTCATTTCCAAAGCCTCATTCCCCGGAGACACATGACAAGTTTGTGTATCTGTGCTCTTTTAAGTCCAGCAACGATATCAAAAGGAAAGGTGGACAGCTCCAGCAGATGGGCAAGTAGTCATGAATTAGATCACTTCAGTGAAACTCCACCCATGCTCATGCAAACCTTGGGTGTTGGGACACTGGAGAAAGCGGTAGTAGAGTACAACGGTACAACAGTTTGATGATCATCCACTTCACCAATCCCAGGGGAAAACCACACAGAACTCACAAAGCCAACTTCACTTTCTCTCACTGAACTGCACCATAGCAGAGCTTAAGATTAAATCTTAAATTTTAGCTCTGAAAAGAACATATATGCCTGTATTCAACAGGAGATCCCCTTAAAACTCATTTCAGCTCACACCTGGCTGCCATGACCACAGGCTCTCCAAACCATGGATATGCTTGCACTCCAGCTACTTGAGGGCCATAACATCCCCATGTTACATTGGAGCAGCATGGGATAAAAAATGCAGGAAGATACAGCAAGAAATGCTATATGCCTGCTGTAGATCTTCAGAGTGCTGCTGGTCTGAAAACCCTCTTTGGCCCTGTTTCCCATGGGCCATGTTAAATCCAGCATTGGTATTTTGAAAACCTATTTTCTAACTACCTAACAGACAAACAAAGAAAAACAACTACCTCCTCCTCATGTCTGCAAACACAGAACATGAGAGCATCCCTCAGGTGAGATGAGCTGGGGGAGTGGGAAATGGGGATGAAATAGAACATAATTCATTGGTGAAGAACATGCTTCTTGAAATATCAAAGAACATTTGCGTACACACATAAATTTGATTTTGCCCTATCATTGGAATAAAAACCAAGTCCACAATATCAAAACACTGCAATTTTCTGTTCAGAATTCTATTTTTTAAAGAATTTTTCCCTTTTACTTTCTACAGATATTAAAAATCTAAAACAGTTTTTTAAAAGCACACAGTCTTACAAACTACATACAGCTATCCGTGTCACTCTTGTGCCTCTTTCCAGTTTTGTCTCCTACCTTGGAACCTGATGCTGTTGTTGATTATTACCAATGTGTCATCCACAGCATTGTATTCTCCCACCTTTACTTCTTTTTGTTCTGCGGAGAAACAAACAAGAGTGATTGTTTATGGCAGTTCACATGTTCTCAACTATTTAACTGATTTTTCTTTTTTGACAGTGTGTCAAAAGGAAAAGAAATATGAAAGAATAAGGCATGAATAATTAAATCAGAATGCCAGACAGCAAACATCATTAAAATAAACATTTCTGGTACTTGAAAGAAATGTAAAGCATTTTTAAGGACTCATTTACATAATCAGGAAATTTCTATTGGATACAGTCATCTCCAGCTTAAAGACCACACATTTTCTTACTGGCTCATACTATGCAGGATATTTTTACTAGGAGAACACATACAATTAAATCACACATTTCCCTCCCATTTAAACAACTAGGACATCTTGCTTTCTGAAGTATTTCCCAGGAGAGTGATGGTGACAGGCTTCAGCCAGTATGGAGCAGACTGGCCAGTTAGCAGATATGCTGGGAATCAGATCTCTTACTCTGAGTGCGAATTAACAACTCATTAGTACCCTGACTGCAAAACACACTCTGTTATACAATTAAAGCCAACATGCACTTGAGTTAAAATTTTACAGTTAGTCTTATCTGGTATTTTGGGACTTTCTTCACATCTATGGCCTTCTTGTACCTGACAGAATAGAGTATGCAGATAGAGGAATTTGTTTGTTTGCTGCCTTGGCCACTGTACCTGGAACTCTGACATGCATTTATCCCACACTGCTGATAACATCTGGCATCAATTATTTTCTGCTATTTTTGTTGAGCTTTTGGTATGGCTTTGAAGTGCAAGAGCTTACTGAATTATCATTTTTACACTAAAACTTTTACATTTTTATAAGACTTACAAACCACAGGCTAAAGATTAACCATTGGCTAAAAATTTATTTGAAGAGCTGTCGCCATGATATTTTCTGAAAAATCCTTTTGCCAGGATTGTCTCCTGAGGAGCCACAGGAAATAAATGTAAACAATAACTATCTGCTGCTGTGGAATGCAACAAGTGTATCTGTGATTGGTGCATGTTGGTTGTTTCTAATCAATGGCCAATCACAGTCAGCTGGCTTGGACTCTAGGGGAGTCAGGAGCTTTTGTTATCATTCCTCTCCTGTCCTTTCCAGCCTTCTGAAGGATCTTTTCTCTCTATTCTTTTTAGTATATTTTTTAGTATATCATTTTAATATAATATATATCATAATATAATAAATCAGCCTTCTGAAACATGGAGTCAAGATTCTCCTCTCTTCACTCATCCTGGCACCCTAGCACACAACTGTAAAGAGCTGGCTCAGCAGAGACAAAAATTTCCTTTCAGGCCTCTCTGTCTGGGCATGCACAACCCAATTTACATTTAAATTCTGAGCTCATGACCCCATTTGTGACACTGATTTTGGGAACTGATGATCTTGAGCTAGATGGCACATTTGGAAAGACTGTATTTCAACCAACAGCTCCACATTAACCTTTTCTCCTTTCTCATTCAAAGTGATTTTGACTGTTCAGCTCTGCTGAATAGAGCATCTAGCTCCATTTTAGTAAATCAACAGTCTGACCAATACTAATCTGAGAGCTCACAGGAGGCAAAAAAATTCCTTAACACAAACTACTATTTTTATTGTTATGTTGTTATATCTAGTGTTATATTTTTAAAATTGTCTACAAGAAATTGTAGGCTGGGCTGCAAATCTGACAGAGGGTCCTAGCGTTTTACTGCACACCCATCAAGAGCTGGAGTTTGCAGTTCTGAAGACTTACGGAGTTTGCAGTCTGAAGACTTTGCCTTTCCCATGAGCATGATCCACTTGGATGGACCTAAGACTAGTTTGGAATAAAAGCAAAATCCCCTGGTGTCCAGCAGCAGTTCCACAAAGCCCACCCACATGGCATCACACACTTTAGAAGTTAAGATAAGTTTATAATTTCTGTCACAGACTGAACATTCACTGTAAAATAGATACAGAATCAATTCTTGACAATCTTAAATAAAATATTCCCAGTAGTCCTCTAAAAGCTAAAATGGTTAATGCAAAAAACAGAACCAATCTACTTCCATTTGTATTTGTAGCATGACAGCTGTTATCTATAGATCTAGAACATCAAAACACAACCCAGAGAGAAGAGAGAAAAACATCAGGTTGCATATTGATATGCAGTGGGCACATTAGATACCAGATAGTCCACAGCATCTCCTGACAGCAAAAGGGGATGACACACACCTTGGTGCTGGTCTAGCCCCAGCTTCACAGCAACAGGCTGAAGCCTCATAGCTCTGATGAGCATAGAAGGGAAATGAGTAATTGCTCTGCAACCATTTCTGTATGGAGAGTTTACTGGGACTAGACGAGATGTGGGAAGCACATAACAGGTGGAGAAACATGTACAGAAACCAGTGAAAATCTGTGGTCTGATTACAGTACTGAAATTAAATAAGTTTTTCTGTGATTATTTCATGTGACAGATGACACCATTTCTTTTCAACACTTATAAATTCTTACATGGTTTCCTTCACAGGTGAAGTAACACTGAGAATGTGCCTGTCCTGTAATTAGCTAGCCTTGGTACCAGGAGCCAACCCTTGTAGGAATGGAGCTCAGTATTCAATGAAACAAGCTTCCACGGCAGCCTGAAGAGCAAGATTTTTGGACTTAGAAACCCAAGAATGTGGGGGAAAACCCACAATATTTACTATCAGGAAACCACATGATCAATGCCTTGTCCCTTACCAACAGGAAAGGACAATTCACAGAGGACATGCCACATTTTATTGAAGTCAAGAAGAGTCATAAAGATATTTGATATCTTAAAGTAGTGACAACTGTGGAAATTAGTCTGTGAAGAAAATAAAACATACTTTTATTGAGAGGAAGGATATACTATCCATTTTATGATGTGACTAGAGGGGGTGCTGAGGGGGAGACACAAAAAGGTTTTTTATGATCTTTTGTTCTCCCAGCAAGGACAACTACAGCTGCTGGTTCTTCAGATCCCCAAGCACAAGTGCTGATCAGTGACAAAGCCACTTCCAAATATTAATTAAAGGAAGCAAGGAGACAGGACTGTGGCTCTCCTTTCTTGCACAGGTCAATACAGCTAAGGATGGGACTGCAGGCTCACTTTTCTTTATGCCATTCCACTTGCCTTTGGAAATTCTGAATTATAAAAGCTAGTATAGTATTTGTATAATGTAGCTCATATCTGTCAAACCTCTGAGTGTGAACAACAAAAGGACAGGAGAGAGTAGAACTCCTTCAAAGAAACACCAACAAAGTGCTTTTCAGAATATTCAGAATATGATGTTGGCTTCTTTCTGTAGTGCTTCTATTATTTTTAACTAGATCTTTCCGTAATCATAATGGAGATATTGTATTGAAGCTCACAATAAAATGCAGAAGAAAAATATGAGGGAAAATGTACTGGAGTTGTGAGATAATGTTTGTCAGTAGCATGACAGGAGTGAAGAAATTTCAGAACTTGAATCTGAAGCTGTTCTTTCACAGAGAAAAAAAAAGTATAAAAATTAACCAACCTAGATAAAACTTGCCCAGAAAAATGTGACTGTAAATTATGCCTATAATTCTCATGGAATTATAAGCAATCCTTATTATTAATTAATTGTCACAGAAGGGATTACTTATATGGTCAAGATGAAAGCCTTCTGCCAACAAAGAATTAGATACTCTTACAGGTATATTGAAATGCTTTTCTCTACATATTTTATTACAGAATTTTATAGCCCACTTTAAGCAACTCCACACAAATTGACTTACTACCACTTAATTAATTAGCTCACATTTCACAAAGTTTGTACAGAGGATCTTCAGGAGCTTATCGGATAGTTACACGTTCTTGTTGAATAAAAGCAAAAAAAAAAATCCTGCAGCTGATATCAGCTGAATGAAACGAACTCACCAAAATGCACAGCAGTATTATGATTGCCAGTTTGACTGTTATCCACTTACACTGAGAATTTCCAGATGAGACTATTCTTAGTTTCAGTTCCTTTCACTATATGCCATAATTTCTATTTTCACCACATTTTTGTAAGTGTACTTATTCACACCTCATGAAGACAGTTTCTACTGAAAGTGTTTAAGGATGAGAGAAATGCACTTGCAATGCATAAGAGACAGGACAGATGGATTTCCTTTATTTTCTTCTATGTAGACAATGCTGTCTCACTTTCAACGACACTGCTTCTAATAACACCCTCAGTGTTAAGCTAATAGCTTAGCTAACTAATAACTAAGCTAATAGCACCCTCAGTTATGTCAGTCTGACTGCAAATAACCCTCACGGTGATGCAGTTAAGCCAACACAAAAATGTTTATATCTGTATAAGCACCAGTACAATTTATGCTTATAAAGGCCTCTCAGAAAAACCACCGTATCCTAAAATGTTTCAAAAATATGTATAATGATATTCATATCCATTCATTAACTCCTATATGTCTGCTTGGATATACTAATGTAAAAACTATGTCTGTGCTACCATAAAGCCAAACTACATGTCTGTACTAACATCATTGCAGTGCCCAAAACACTTGGCTCCAAATGAAGATTAAGGATTTCAAAGCTCATTATAGCTTACCACAGCTTGACACTACTAAGAACACTCTTATGTCACTGCAGCTCTTAGAATTCCATGCAAACGACATAGAGAAATATGAGCAAGTGATGAGTATTCACTTTCCAATAAATATGAAGTAAATTTTAAAGTAAATTTAACAAACTTAGCGTGGACTGTTCTCCAGATAACTAAGGGTCATAGAGGTTTCTCATCTAGAGGACACAGAGGACTGCTTGATTTAGAAGCAGCAGAAAAATAATATTACATATAGCTGGAAGCCTAAAAAGTACCTAGGTCTTTGTTTGTTCTGAAAAACCATGCCCGCAAAAGATGCTGCCTCTATGACTCCTCCTTGAAAAGCTTTTCAATATTTTTTTATACAGCCTCTCCTGCTTGTCCACACAGTAAATGATCACTGCACTCCCTTAAAGCTTCCTGTGACATTGGTT